TATATATATCTACAATTGGAGATTGTTTGAATAAGCTGAAGAAGCTGCAAGAGTTTTTCAACTATTGAGCTTCAAGCCATTATTAAGTCATATCATCATTCAATAGAATCATTTGAGAACATAGATTGCCTATTAAATGTAACATCAGTTCATAGTAATTAGTTGTATGTTTTGTTGCTATTGTGTTCTAGCTTTGCCAAGTATTTGACTTGTTAAAAAAAAAAGTAGAATTCCCAGGTAGAACAGTGTAGATTTATCAATACAAACACCTTGAGTACAACTTTAATGCTCCATCACAACATGTTCGCCAGGGGTATCAGTGAATGAAGGCCAAGCACGCCTATCAGCAGAGCATTTCAAAGACCTATCATGCCGGCATCAATACAGAATGTAACTTTAATACATTTTAAAGATCTAAAATTGCATTTGAAAATCATTTAATTAAGTTGTCAGGTAATGTGTTGGAATCTGACAAGTACATTTTTAAGAAAACTATACCCAGCAGTCTAAAGATATTCACGGGTGTCTTCTAATTGTCAAGGGCAAATTTCGTTCATCAGTTCTGGCTTTGACATTGATGAAGAGAAGCAGCTTTTTTCTGCACAGCTGCCAGCTGCTGATCACAGTTTCAAATCCATCATCCTCTGCTCCAATTACGTAAATTTGTCAAAATTAACCGTACATTATAAGAAGCATCCTTGCACGAAAAGTATCAGTAGACATGTGAAGAATTGTTAATGTTTCCATACGGGAGTGACATGAATGCTAGATTTTTTTTCTTTCAACTGGCGAATCAGTTGTGGTTTACAATGCTTTCTTACTACAGTTTGCAGCACCAACCCCCAAGGAGGCAGAAGAATGGGTGAATTCAATTTTGTTTCTACAAGGTAAGTAAAAGAAACGAGTTAAAGAAAAATACTTTCTCAGTATACAAGACTACATGGCTACTTCCATTAAAAGTACACTTTTATCAAACATAAAACTCCTATATTTAAATTGACTCAAGGGAAATTTATCAAAACTGGGGCAGACAAAATCTGGAGCAGATGTGCATTGCAACCAATCAGCCATTCTCTTTAATTTTCAAATCTTAACTGAACAAACTGAAGAGAGAAGCTGATTGGTTGCCATGCACATCTGCTCCAGTTTTTATCTGCTCCAGTTATGATCAATTCCCCCCAGAGTGTTTTATACTTTTCAAACTTATGAGATTACAACATGGCTCTACATTCACTTGAAGGAGATTGTTTTAAACCTTGAAATACCTTGTCATACATATAGTATAACACAGAGATAGGGACAGCTAGGCTTCTTTTCACCCCCTCCAATCCTGTTAGGTAGTGGCTGTTAGTGGGAGGGTTGAAAGAGTCAGGTTGTGATCTTCAGGATTAGCTGGGAGAATCTTGTTGCCAGCCTAGAGAAACACTATGAGGCGTTACCTAGTGTTTTTTACCCAACAGGCACTTTTATCACTCACTAGCATGAAGAAATTAGACATGTCGTCCACTGTTGTTTTTGCAGAAAGCGTAAAATATTAACTCACTTGAATCTGTAGAAAGGCACAATACCTCCCTATCGCCCCAGCACCCAAGATAAAATAGGTTAATTACTACAAGGAGTACAACTAAAAATCTTTTATTCTTGATAGCTCATGGATGACATTTAAATTCTGGTGCCTCTGCAAGGATATGCTTCTGTTTGCATCAGACTGATGACATCATCTCAGACTAGGCAAAGTTACTAAACTGGAGCTTAAAGTATATCTAAGCCGAAGAACAAAAATGTAATAAATAGCGCTTATCAGATCTTACATGTAGTGGCTGCATTTGTTTTTTTCCTTTATTTTTATCCAGTGATAAAGTAACAACTGCTAGTAACACACACCCTGTCTTAGTGTCCTAGAGTGATAACGCTCAGTCACTGTATTGAATCTATGGAGGAACAGTGTTGTCACCACTGTTTTATCATAAAATAAGGGGGAGGTGTTCTGTAGTCAACAGAGAGAACTGGAAATACTGCTAACTAATATGGAGCAAAGTCAAAAAGAACAGGAACAAGTTAGGAGCTCAATGGATTTTTGCTAGGATCAAACTTTTTTTTTCCATTAGCAAACAGATATAACAAAATGCCGGCAATGGCATATTTAAGAGACCAAAAAGGAGCACATAAGATAAGTTAATTGTTAAAGTTTACATACAGTTTTAGAAAACGGCTTTTTAATGAAAGCCTTTAATTGGATAACAAAGGGAAGCAGCACACTGATGAGATCATTATTATGCTCTTTTCTCTCAGGAAGCTATTCAGAGCTTCATTTCGTATTGTAGTTAATATTACCGTATCACAATTTATGATTTGATACAAAGGACTCTATTATAAGGAAGTTGTCACAATTATGTTGCTGAATTGTGAGGTATTGGCTCTATTCTCCTGTTAGCATGTTATCGTTTACCCAGATTTTTTTGTTTTAAAAGTTTACAAGGCAAAATTAGTTGTAATTATTCCAGGTTCTTATAAACCTTCTAGCGGATCAATTTGACTTCCATTTATTTTAAAATGCTCACAATGATTTATATTGTTGTTGCAATTTTAAAAAGAAACACCTATGCGGTAGAGCTCCCTGCGTACAATGGATGCCCTTCCTGTCAGGTTAGATCATGCCCAATAGTTATCGTCAGTGCGCATAATAACCTGTAGGGTAAATAATAACAAAGGAACAAAGGGTCTGGCTTTGAATGGGAAAATTAATCTAACTGGTTACAGTTGTTAAGACCAATGTTTTTGTTTGTCCCAAAACAATGCAGACCTCTAGTCCTCTGCATCTAATGCAGACCTGTACTAAATATATTGAGGGGAATTTATCGAAGCTGGAGCAGACAAAATTTGGAGCAGCTGTGCATAGCAACCAATCAGCTTCTCTCTTTCATTTCCAAATCTTAACTGAACAAACTGAACAGAGAAGCTGATTGGTTGCCATGGGCAGCTGCTCCAGATTCCGTCTGCCCCAGTGTTGATCAATTTCCCCCATTGTATTTAATAGGGATGCACTGATACCAACACTAGTATCGGTGTCGATACCGAGTATGTGGGTGAGTACTCGTACCTTTCCCGATACTGGAACTTCCGGTCAGAGGGAGATTTTCTCTGACCGGCACTGCCGCGAGGAAACATGGAGCCGGGAAACTGGCTCCATGCTGTTTGGCTGGCTCCATGCTGATTGGCCGGGAAGCCAATCAGTGTCGAGCCGGGCAAACAAATCTGATAATATGGCAATACGACCCTCACCCTGCAGACAAATCATTCCCCTCACATAGATCCTTAGCAGCATTCATTACCGTAGCAGTCCCTCGGCTCGCTGGGCATGCACCGCTCTCCAAGCTCTCCGGGATCTGCCATCTCCTGTGTGCACAGCGCCCACGTGGTCGGCCCTCAGCCTGCTACTGTGCATGCACAGGATTTCTGAATGAGAGCGCTGGGCAGTCTGCGCATGCGCAGTAGCAGGCTGAGGGCCGATCACATGGGCACTGTACACACAGGAGACATGGGCAGATCCCGGAGAGCTTGGAGAGCGGTGTCTGCCCAGCTGGCCGAGGGACTGGTACTTAATGAATGCTGCTAAGGATCTATGTGAGGGGAATGAGGTGCCTGCAGAGTGGGGGTCGTATCACCATAATGTCAGATCTGTTTGGCCGGCTTCCCAGGCAATCAAGAAGCCGGGCCGTGGGTAATGACACGCCGCCTGGCTTCCTGATTGCCCATGAGGCTGGCTCTATGCTACTAGAAGTACCGATATCGGTACTCGGTATCGGCGAGTACCGAAATATAAATATCAGTACTGATACTCGATACCGATATTGCTACCGGAACAGTTGCACATGTTGCACTTGGGACTCAAGGGTGGAGGATCATTCCATCTGATGTCACATCACATGACATTGTCAAGAGTTTGGAACAGACTCTCAATAGTACTGCACCATGGGGGAGTGTTTTTGAGTCTAGTTGACTTGCCTAACATAACTTTGTTCTTTTTGCAGATAGTGATGGCACTGACTTGTATGATGATGTAAACCAGCCAGAAACTTTTCCTCCTGTCTCAAAGACTATTAGTCATGAAGAGGAACCTGAAGATATTTATGAAGTTCTACCAGGTAATAACATTTCACACCATCTTCCCAGTTTTTTAATATTAAAGAGGAACTGAACTCTTGGAGCTGTGCCCCAAAAAAGAGCCTCCCGTAAGGAGAACAGTAAACAGCAAGGTAGTGACATTACCAAATCTCTCTTCAAATCTCCTGAGACTAGCAGTCAGAGGCACAGTGCCTTAGAACGCAGAGAGCATTCCAGCATTCGACCCCTTCCATTCACTCTTCGATGCATACTGTCTAGCTTGGGCACCATGGGCCATAAAATAAGGACTTATGTGGGCCACAACTTTGACTGCCCTGCTATAACATAGCAGATTTTTTTTCTTTAGGTCCACTTTAAATAATAATTTTAATCCAAGCTACTGTGTAAAAATGCACAAAAGCCAACTTGCAACTTATCTTATTTTGCGTATGTCAGTATAGGCGTATTTCTTCCAGAACCTTGGTTAGGTTATTCTGTAATGCATGATTTATCATGAGTTGAGTGTCAAACACAAATCAGCTATACAGAGTACAGCAGAGAGGGCTCACAGCATACAGCCAGCCACAGGCATCATGGAAAGCCACGGCAATGACACACTGAGGGGGAGCAGCAGCTGCATACATAGAAGTGTTTGAATTGTCCAGGAGATAGTAACTGTAACAAACATGGAGCCCAAATACACATTAAAAATCTTGGACTAGGAGATTACTTTTTTCAGAAACACTAGCCAAATCATATAGGTTACCAAAATAAGCCACCTACACATTTATACTTATCCAGCATAACAGTGTAACGAGAAGTAATGATATAGAAAGTGTTTTGACACATAGAAACTGACAAGATTTAGGTGTAGGTGTATGTGGCGCCGGCGCCTTGCAGATGACACTCTTGACTATTCAGATGTTGCACCCTCTACCTGCTTTTAAAAGTAGAGCTGTTGGTCACAGAAGGGTTGATTAAAAAAAATATTTAAGTAGTTCCTTTACAGCAGGATTATACATATCACTATATGGGCAGCTTCTACTGCTTTGAAAAGATGGCAAAATACAGAAAAAGGACAGACTAGAGCAGCGGGGGTGGAATGACGATTTGCCAGGGGTCGCCTAAAGACATCCCAACTCTCCGGGACGCTCCGGGAGTCTAAGATAGCGGCTCCCAGCCGCCTAGGAGAAAAACACTTTCTCCCGGAAAGGTTTACTTTGCTCGACCGATTTCCCTGCGATCGTCTTTTTTTTCTGACATCGGGGCCCGCTGGCCGCATAAGTAAAAAAAAAAAAAAACCCACCATAGGAATGCATAGCTAGATTCCTATTGGCTATTTCACTTTGCAATAGCCAATAGCAAACTAGCTATTGCACCCGCCCTCTACTGCTGCCAATCAGCAGAGGGGGACCTGAGGTTCTCCATCAGGTCCTCTTCTACAGTAGTGATTGACAGCAGCAGAGGGTGGGTGCAATAGCTAGTTTGCTATTGGCTATTGCAAAGTGAAATAGCCAATAGGAATCTAGCTATACATTCCTATGGTGTTTTGTTTTTTTTTAAATCAAAAGTGAAATAGCCATTAGGAATCTAGCTATGCATTCCTATGGTGTTTTTTTTTTTTCATTCTGACGGCGTACGTGGCTACGGAAAGAAGATTCAAATTTGTAAGGTAACAAGAAATGCCAGGTATCGCCAATCTATCTGTGCATTTAGTAAGCATAGGATCTGCAACACTTATAGGACAAAAACATCCTTGGGATGCTGGAATTAATATAAATTCCTTACTACATCTTCCCAGAAAGAGTAGATATGGCAACAACTAATTTTCTGGTTGCTGGGTTTGCTGGGGAATATCACTGAATAATAAGACTAATCTCAACAAATGAAAAAACATGTTCTACAGCAGTGGTTCTCAACCTGTGGGTCGCTGTGTGATTTCTGCTGTGCTAGGTGAGAGTCCTTCTCAGCCCTCTGGGAAGGCTGTCAGGGCTCAAAATTTCCACTCGGCTGCTCGCATTTGGCGAGTGGAAATACAGTGAAGGTGAGTGGAAATTGGGGTCTCAAAGTACTGGCCCTGAGCCGGGACTATGTGGCCGCAGCCCGTTGACAAGTCAGGCACACGGTCATGGACCGCGTACCTGACTTGCGGAAGCAGCTCCACGGTCTGCATCTGTGTCGGATGCAGACCGCAGAGCTGCTCCTGTCAGCTCCGGCTTCCTTCGGCCGGAGCTCTGACAGTTCTGAGCTCCGGCCGAAAGAAAAGATGTTATAGTGAGGTCTGCAGCAGACTCACTAATCACCCCTAGAGCACCAAGGATCAATCCTCCTCACAGCCTCCTCCCTGGAGATCTAAGTAGGTGAGGGGGCTTGCGGTAGGAACTTGCATTTTTCTGCAGCAGGAATCCCTAATCTGGCAACTATCTATCTTTGCAACTATCTTTACAAGTACTATCATAAGATCATTTAAGAGGGTGTGCTTAGGGGCGGAGTTAAGGCCAGGCAGGGTAGGGATTAAGTGGGGCAACTGGTGGCGAGTAACTCTTAAGGCCTGGCTGGTAGCTCAGGACCTAAATTTTTGAGCCCTGCTTTTGTCATTTATATGTTTATTACTGCTATAGAAATGGCAGCATTGTAATTAGCTGCTTTTAATGATCAAGAGAAAAAGAAAACACCATAGACTTTCTCTGCAATATACTTGATAAAAGTATTTGTGTTGGAACATAACGATACTGGTTCTACATAATGGCACAAATAAGCCATTATAATGAAAAGGATCAGTCCTTATGGGAATTTTGTGTCTCTTACCTACTCTAATTTAATGACTTCCATGAACCAGTGGATTTTTCATCTTTTGCTAGCACTGAAGCTTTCCTGGAAACATTATACATTAACTAGCAACCCTTGTCCTATAATGTTCATTGAATTCTCTAAAAGTAAGATTAGCCACCTTAGTCTACTGCTCACTGACATATACTGTGTTCCAATATGCCTACATTACAGAGCCTCGACCAGAATTACAAACATTGCCAGAAGAGCCAGAAGAGGGAGGTTAATTAAGGGTATAGACTGTTGATCTCCAAATGCATCTAGAAAACTAGTGCCAAAGTTCATCGTATGACACTGGAGGAACAGTAAATTGTCATTTGCTGACCTCAGGGATTATTTATCAAAGCGTGAATCAGTAATTTTGCTCAGATTTCTCCACAATTTCATCATGTCCTGCTTTTTTGTTTCCCATTTATTATTAAGTAGGGTCTATAAATGTTGCTGGAATTATGCTAGAATTAATTTTCTAAGTCACAGCTGGCGCATTCCATTATCTCCAGTGGAAGGTTTCTGCTAGTTTCAGGAGTTCTATGGCTTTTGTACTTTTATCTCTGGGGACACTGAATAGCATTCTTTAAAATGCTATTTTTATTTTTTAAACTGACTTGGATATGGTGGTTGGAGGGAGGTCTCAGGATGGGATGGGTTAGGTCAGTTTTATGTTTGAGCACCCAATCAAATTTGTCAAGTAAGGTCAAATCCAGAAGTGGCAGACTAGGAGGATTATTCACTATGGAGCCGAAGGATCCAGCCGTAGCTTTGGGTGATCCTTCGGCCAGCTTTGGTCACCTGAGCCCTTCAGTTTAGTCAAACCGAAGGGCTGCAGTACCAGCTTTTCACTGTAGCCCGTACAGCAGCCGGAGGCAGCCAAGTGGATCAGGCAAGCCGAAGGCATATGCTTCTCTTTGACTGTGCCAAAGTGACAGCTGAAGCGTGGAGAAAGGTCGGCTGACCTTTCTCCGCGCAAATGACAGCTGGGCGGAGCCAGCCATGATCTCACGGCTCACTCCACCCAGTTGTAATGACAGATCAGCGTCCCCAATAATAAACTACCACCTAGTTTAATTAAGGAATTAGAGTCACCTCAAAAGAGTTTCAGATAGTTGTAATAATGCTGCTGAGAAGATTTTTTTATTTTTCCTATGCAGGTGACAAGCGTCAAACAGAATATGAAATTGAAGAGAATCTCCTCAAAAGGGACACAGATAGCATTAGAAATCTGAAAAAGGTTTTAACGCTGTACCTTATCCAACACAGAACAAAAACAGTTTTAGCTGAAGTTGACCTTTAATTCCAAGAAAACAGTTTTCCAGTTTGAGGACAACCCTCCAAAAAATAGATTTAGAGGAAATATTGTCAACAAAATATATATAATATAAATGGGCGTATTTTATACAAATCATTGCATTTCAGGGCTGTCTAATTAGCGGCTTGTGGAGCCCTAGCCAAAAATGCCCAATGCATAGTGGCTGTGCTGGCATGCTCTTCCCACACAAATGGGAGGGGGTATTGCTACTGTACGCCAATGAGGGAGGTTCATGCTACTACTGTACACCAATGGGGGGCGTTGTTGCTTTACACTATAAATTGTACCATCATAGCGCTTTACTGTAGAATGTACACAATTCATCCATGTATTGCAAACTTCATAAGAAAAAAACGTATAAAAAGTCTAGCGCTCACCCCATAAGTAGCTGCTGGAATAAATGGGTCTTCTCCTACCAGTTCAGCAGCCACCAGCCCTTTTTCTTAGCTCTGGTAATACCGACATTTCTAGGATACAACAGGCTCAAGTGGTAGGGTCTTTTTAGTATTTATTGCTTAGTAGTAACTAGGAGAGAGGGTTAGGGTTGCAGGATACCCAAGATACAAAAATAGAGGGCAGTGTCTTCACCATTAGCAACAGTAGTCACAGGCAGCAATAGGTCCTATGAGAGTGACCAGTGATAGGTAGTAGCACCAGAGAACAGCCTAGAACAGTCCAAGACTCTGAAGGAGAACAGTCACAGGACTTACAGTGCACCAACTGGCCTCTTCTCTTTTGTGTGATATCTGAGTAGTGGCTGAGGAATCACTTACAGGGTCCAGACGGCAGCTCTCATCAGCTCCTCTGTGACACTCCTAGTAAACAGATTCTTCCTCCAGCCCATCTTCAATCAGGTTTCCTTTCCATATCATCTTAGGCCTCTGGGCCCCCAGCACTTGCTTCATG